ACCATCCTTTTTTTTTTTTTTTTTTTTTTTTGATTTGTCCTTTTTGTTGTTCGTGTATTATGCAAAATAGGGTTTTGATATCAATTTGGATTTGCCATTGGGGGTTCGTATGGTGGCTCCAATTAATCCACAACGGGGTTTCGAGAACATCCCAAGATATACCGAGCTGTCTCGTATGGCCATTGGCGATTTCAATTCACAGAATGTAAGTAAAAATTTCTTATATAATTGCCTTATCCTTGGAGAAAAATGTTATTCTGTCTGTCCCTNTTATTCTGTCTGCCCCTTTTAATTTGGCTTTCTTCTATTTGTTAGAATAAAAGGTACGAATTTGTCAAAAATTTGACTGTGAACACATCACTTGCTGCTGGGTTTTGGTGTCGTATCACCTTTCAAGCCAGGGATGCTGATGCTTCTGATGCTGTAAAGACCTTTCAAACATTGGCGTGGTGGGGAATTGATGGAGACAAAGAAGNGAGGTGTGTGGTGTATGTTACTACCCATTGATTTATGCATGTGCATTTTGCTACACAACAAATTACAACAACTATGTCTCAATCCTGAGGTCTGTCATATCGCTGTCCATTTCACTCCATTTGGATCTTTTATATTCGAAAAAGGTATCAGTAGTCCACTTGGCGATAAGTTTAACATCAAATAATTAACATCTCCATGATCTTTTAGCTCATCAAAGACTAACTTAAGTGAAATCATCTTTGTGGAATATCTTCTATCAAAATGGCTTCCCAAGCAACTGACATTTTGGACTATTTCGATACTCGTGGTTTGATCTGGCTTGGTGGATATATTTGTTTGGTCGGTATAGGAACTCATAAAGGCATTTGAAGTCTTTGGTCTCTTTCACAATTTCGAAATCTAATGCATAGCCTTCTTTTGCTATGGAGACTTGAGATTCTTGAAAATTCATGTCCATGTGGATAAAAGTCGTGGGTGCAGCTGAGTGTGATGTCTTGGACTGTTGATGGCTCTTTTAGTTGTCTTTGACCTTACCTCGTCTAATTGCACTGCAAGAGATGAGGGCTTTTGTGCCAACTAAGTCATTACTGAAACTCTAAACTTGCCTCGAATGACCTTTAGTGGTGACTATGCAGTCGCTATAGTTGAGTAGCTTTTAGTGGCAACTTGTGTAATAAGTATATATTAGCTACGACATCAGTCGCCACAAAAAACATTCCTTTTCAGTGGCAGCCCTAGTCGCCACAAATAAACCTCTGTAGCGGCTATCCTATGTGATCATGCCGTCACGGATATTTATTGGTTTATTGTAGCATACATTTGGTGGCGACTGCGGGTTGCCCCAAATACCAATTTCATTTTAATTAATTTATATCAACTGTATGTTCCTATTAGTTTGCCCAACAATATACCAGCGACCATCACCGATTTGCAGACATTTCTCAATAAGTCTTTTATGATAAAAGTCATGATATAGAGTACACAACACTTCATAGTACATTATCATTATAGAGAAACTTCATAATACATTTTAATTGTATGTACACAAAAAGAGAACCACAAAGCTTTCGAGGATCTTATAGACTTAGACTTAGCCTCTTTCTTTGTATTATGGTCAAATTGATCTGGGGAATTTAGTACTTAGAAATTGTATCTACATTTTTTCACTTTACCATAACTATAAGTGCCCTTGGGAATATTCTTGTTTATAAGAGAATTCACATGATTGCATTGATCAATGCTGTTGTGATATGTGTTATTCTTTGTTTTGCCATTCTTTGTTGTGTCAAGAAATGAATTAGAAAATCACTTTTAGCTGCAGTTTTGATGTTGTTATTACAAGTCTCCCATGAACAACAATTTTTAGGAACACTCCTTGGAGCAATGGTGAAGCTGCCTCTGTGTGACCTGTACGTCACGGGTTCGAGCGTGGAAGCAGCCACTAATGCTTGCATTAGGGTAGGCTGTCTACATCACACCCCTTGGGGATACGGCTCTTCCCCGGATCCTACGTCAATGCGGGATACTTTGTGCATCGGGCTGTCTTTTTAAAAAAAAAAAAACTCTTTCCTCATAACACTTCCCTCTTTCTTTGCTATAAATGTGTATTTCTATTTGTCTTTTGTCAAAAATTTCTCATTTTATTATGAGTTTGAGCTTGTCCTTGCCATAATCTATTTTTTTCATTTTCATCATGATTATACCCTCCTAGAACCAAATGAAAGATCTCCACTTTTTTTTTTCCTTGATGATGGCAATGATCTTTTGGTACTGAAGAAAAGAAACAATTCATTCAAGAGTCGAACTAAGAGAATGTGTTGCTTCTTTTCCCATCTCATTTTTCTTATCTACCAAGAAATGATTACTCATTCAGATTCTCACAAAAACTGTTTTCTAACCTAGGGAATCTGATGTTATAAATTACTCAAAGAGTACATGATTCATTGCAAGAGCTTCTTGCATTGGTGAAAAGATTCCAGCTTAACTGGAAACAAGGACCAAACGAAGGGACTAGGTCACCCCAAATGCCTATCTGTGGTGACTTTCAGCAGGTCACCACGAAAACTTTCCATGCCGAATATTTCAAAATATTTTGTTTTCAGGGGACAAAAATTTAGCCTATAGTCTCGATGACATGTGACGACTTTTCAGGTCTAAACTCTTTACTTTTCATGCAACTATATGTCGTCACGAAAAACCCTTGATTTCATGGCGACTTCGTGGGTATAGTCTGTTTTCGCGTAGTATAGTTAGGTTCCTTTGGAAAATTCTTTAGTAGGACAGAAGTTTTGTTTCACATCAAAATAATGTTATACCTAAAACATTCAACTCCCTTGTCATTGCAACTTGTCTACTCGATCGCAAGGTCTGCATTTTCTGGTCAAGCTTTCAAGGTGTTTGCTTTGTGCAGTTTGGAAGTTCCAAATTGTTTTATATACAGAAAGATGAGAAAATTGATGCTTTAAATTTATTTTGGGTCTGCCCTGCTCTGCTTTTCTTTGTTGTAATTATCATTTTATTTTTGGCAGGTGGTGAGCGGCCTCCTGATTCCAATGTCGATGTGAAAGCTACTCAGTGAACTAGTCATCTCTTTAAACTCTTATCTACTATCTTAATTATTATTGAGAATGTAGTGTCATTTAGTTGTGTTATTACTAAGACATGAAAACATATTGTTGTGATTTGTCATCTACGCTCCTAGTTATGTCTTTAAGAATGTAGGGTTATCTGTGTTTTATTACTAAGACAAGGAAAAATGTGCTCCGATGTTATGATTCTGGTTATGTTTGAGGAGGAAGCTTTTATTAGAGTAACTTGGTGTTGAGAAATCCTCTGTAGATGGTTGGTTGTTTCGCTTTGATCTATGGTAGTACACTATTTTGGTTAATTTTTGGCTCTCTAAAATTGGCCTATACTATACTGCTCCAAGTTGTTTATTAGACACATATTGAGTGAGGTTGGGGTGTCTAAAGGTACGAGACTCAGTTGAAGTAGCTAAACGAAAATAGTGGCCAACTTCAGGGAGATGTCTATACTTTGCCTTAAATTTTATTCTAATCATGAGTACGTGGATGGTGTGATAAAATAGCTACTGTTGAGTGTAGTCTATATAATCATTTGAACACCTCAACTGTTAAAATGAGATATTTTCTCTGTTTAAGCCGAAAATTCAAAAAATAACTAATGATACTGAATCTTTTATGTGTAAATAAATGTTATCTGGAACTTCAAATTTTCCAAGCAAGAGCATATTGGATCGAGTATATAAAACTTAAAAAGTGAAAATTCTCGGCCTTTTAATGACTTTGTTTTGTTAAATGTAGCTATCCCTAATCTACAAAACTGAGAGTGATCTTAGTGCAATTGAGACGTGTTTTCTGAAATGACCATGAACTAAAAGAAACATGGAAGTTTTCACATGAAACTTAACTTATAGCAGTGAATGCCGAAAGGAGGGGAAAGAAAAAGGCTCGCTAGAATATTCATAGGGTTATAACGCAGATAGACCGGCTAAATACTAAATAATAGCCCTCTAGACCGACTAGCTAGTGTCATTTCTACATGAAACATGTTTAACTTCGGTACCCAATAGCTTTTTTTTTTTTTT